GGGTAGACTCGAATGTATGCGTATGCTTCTGGCTCTTTCTGTCAATGTTCGGTTCATTCGTTCTGCCACCCCATTCTGCTATGGGGTTCCTTGCACAGTCTTCTCTAATCTGATCCCATTATCAAAACAAAACTTCTTGAACCCAGTGTTTGCATACTCACCACCATTGTCTGATCTCAACCTCTTGATCTTCAAACCTGTCTCATTCTCCACCATAGCCTTCCACTTCTTAAACACACAAATACCTCATATTTATGCTTCAAAATATGAACCCCTACCTTCCTCGTGTGATCATCAATGAAAGTCACGAAGTATGATTTTCCACTAATGGATGAAACAGTGGTTGGCCCCCAAACGTCTGTGTGAACTAGCTCAAGTTTCTCCTTTCTGAGATCTCTGCCACTCTTCTTGAAACTGACCCTCTTCTGCTTGCCCATCACGTAACTCTCACAGAATTCAATATCAATTGCCCGTATGCCTGGTAGTTTTCCCTTTGAGTGCATAATTTTGAGCCCTCTTTCACTCATGTGACCTAGTCTTTGGTGCCAAAGGTTGTGATCTTCTCTATTTTCTGCAATTGCTATAGACCCACAAGCACTGGTAATTGTGAAAAGAGTGCCAGATTTCTTACCACGTGCAATGGTCATAGCGCCTCTGGAAACTTTTCACGAGTCTCCATTGAAGGTTGTAACAAAACCTTCATCTGACAATTGTCCCACCGAAATCAAATTCTTCCTCAAGTCAGGAATGTGTCTCACATCCTTTAACTTCCAAGCTGACCCATTCAACTTAATTTGCACTTCACCCTTGTCAACGACGCTGCAAGGTTGATCATCACCAAGATATACCTTCCAAGGTTCCTCGGTTCATAGCTATTAAATAGCTCTTTGTTTAAGATGCCATAAAACGATGCGCCAGAATCTAAAACCCATGACTCCGCCTTGCTCTCCAAAGAGCATATCAATGCATCATCTAATTCTTCTGAGACAAAATTTGCTTCAGTTTTTCTTTCGATTCCCTTCTTTGGAAGTCTGCAATCAACATGGTAATGTCCCTTCTTTCCACAATTCCAACACTCAACATCATTGAGATCTGTGGAATTCCTGAAATTTTGAGACTGTGTCCTTCTATTCCTTGACTTAGCTCTGCCTCTGTTTCTATTATTGTTGCCCTTCTTCTTGTTTGAACCCTTACCTCTGCTTTCAACATTTAACGCCGAACCACTGATGGAAACCCCTATTGTTTGCTTTCTAATTTCTTCAATCAGAATCATGCTCATAACTTCATCAAACATCAACTTGGTCCTCCCTGCAAAGCTACTGATCGCTGTAACTGTGCCATTCCAACTCTCGGGTAACTGCTCTAGAATTAGCAGTGCTCGGACCTCGTCTTTAAAGTTGATATCAACAGACTCTAATTGCCCGGACCTCGTCTTTGAAGTCGATATCAACAGACTCTAATTGCCCAACTATCTCGTTGAACGCATTTAGATATTCGTTGAACTTACCACCTTCAACCATTTTCATATTGAACAATTTCTTGATCAAGTGTACCTTGTTCGCTGCAGAAGGTTGTTCATATATACTAGAAAGGGCTACCATGAGAGACTCCGTCGTCTTCTCATTCTTAATATTGAAGGCAACTGACTTTGACAACGTCAATCTGACGGTGCCAAGAGCCTTCTTATCAAGTAATTCCCATTATGCATCCTTTGTAGCCTCTGGCTTCTCTCCCAAAGGTTGATACAGATTTTTCTGAAACAAGAGGTCTTCTATTTGCATCTTCCAGAAACCGAAGTTTGTGCCATCGAACTTCTCGATCATGGATGTGGATGTCTTATCTTCTGATGCCATTACTCCCACTCGAACGGACAGATCTGATCGAAAGACTTTCAGAATTTCGTCAAACACCTTCTGTACCCTAGGTTCTCAACCAAAGGCTCTGATATCAGTTGTTAGAGTTGCACTACACAATCAACCGGATTTGATACCAGTTGTTGTGGCAGAAACACAAAATAAACAACACTGTTCAAATAATAAACAATCAATCATGAAGAATAAAAAAAAATCGCACACAAGAACACAAGATATACATGGTTTACCTAAATCTTAGGGCTACGTCTATGGAGCACACCGAACAAAATCACTATGAAAAAGATAAAGAATTACAAGGAGAATTCTCTCTCAATCTCTCTCAATTGCTCTCTCTTGTATTGGCACACCTTTATCTCTAACTTTCACCCCTATTTATAGAGTTCCAAACTTGTCCTACAAGAACTGGCTTTTTGTAGAACCCAAAACCAATAAGGAAATTAAAACAAATCAGGAAACTGAATTTTTCTTAAACCAATAAGGAAGTCAAATCAGATTAGGAAACTGAATTTTCCCTAAAATTCAGTACTTTGAAGTTTCCATATAATTAAATCTTCCTAAAAATCTTTCACCTAATTAGACTCCACAAAACCACAATAGTGTATGCCTTGAGATGATCATCAATTTTTTGGCTCAATTAATTGCACAGGTTTTATAAAATATAATAAAAAATGATTGCTGGTGTACCATTTACTGAAGTAACCATTCAGTTTTTTTCATGATCTCCCTCTCTCGTGCCTATGTACTATATGTGTGTATGTGTGTGTATATATATATATATACAGGCAGGCTCTCATGCGGTCCAAAAGAATGAATTTTTTAGCAGATCTATAATCAAATAGTCAATTACATATAATACTTTCCTAACCATAGTTAATATTTGTTACCTTAATAGTCAATTTACTATATGTGTGTATGTGTGTGTATATATATATATATACAGGCAGGCTCTCATGCGGTCCAAAAGAATGAATTTTTTAGCAGATCTATAATCAAATAGTCAATTACATATAATACTTTCCTAACCATAGTTAATATTTGTTACCTTAATAGTCAATTTACCATATTTAGTCAATACCTTTATTCAATCTCTCTCCTCCTTAATCTCTTCCATTTTACTTACAATCTCCAACAGTCAATTTGTTTATAAATTTGTAATCATTACTTATGAAAAAATCCCCCTAAATTGAAAAGAAAAAAAATTAAAAGAGCAAAAAAATTAAAAAAACTTATTCACGAACCGTAAAAAATTGATATCCTTTGAACCCATAAAAAAGGCTTATTTAGTAATTATTCCACACTTCATTATCAATTTGTTCTTTTAACCCAGCAATGCGATCTTAGTTATTTTCGATTAGAAATTGAGCATCATTTGAAAACTAATTTAAAAATTGTCCCACGTGTATCTAGAGTATAGGGAACCAATTGGCATATTGGAAGCATATGATAGATTAATGGCATGAGAAGGAGTTTTCAATTTACTTTACAAATTGATAAATAAGGTCTAGTTTGATATACCTGTGCAAGTAGTACCCTGAATTGCTAGATATGTAGCATTAAAGTTCTTGATCTAAATTGGAAAAAAATGTTTTTGCATGATTATTTTTAAAGACTAAAAAAAGTAAAAAAGAAGTTGAGTAATAGAAATAGTTTTTGAGATATTTTAAAATTTTGAACGTAGATTTTCTAATACCATAAAATATTTCCAAAATTGGGATGATGAGATTGGATATTTAATTGTATTTGTGCATAAAATTTAAAAGAAATTGTAATGCGTGAAAGCTATGGTAAATTGACTATTAAGGTAATAAATATGAACTATGGTTAGGTCTGATAAAGTAATAACGTGTAATTGACTATTTGACTAATGGTCTGCTAGAAAATTCTTTCTTTTGGACAGCATGAGAGCCTTCCTGTATGTATATATATATTTATAATAACGTGTAATTGACTATTTGACTAATGGTCTGCTAGAAAATTCTTTCTTTTGGACAGCATGAGAGCCTTCCTGTATGTATATATATATTTATAGGAAAGTTTTCACATTTGCAGGTTTATATTTAAATGAATTAGGAGATATGGTTAAAGTTATGTGCAAATAAAATTATATATATATAGGATGAATTTTCACTTATTGAAAAAATATATATTTATTTGTATATTTCTAAATTAATATTTGCAGGTTTGAACTGATATGGATTAAGAAAATCTAAATATATATATATATATATATATATATATATATATATATGTTTTTTTTTATTTTTTTATTTTGGTAATATATATATCAATGCCAAGTTGAAAGTCAACTTAGAAATCTTGTTTTTATAACTTTTATTAATGAAAGAATGATTTGATTTAGTATGGATATTTTGATATTTTAAAATAAGAGTTTGGAGGATATTTTGGACTTAAATAATAGTTTTTAATGCATATGCCTAACTCGACCAAATTGAAAAATTAACTTTAATAATAAACTAATTTGTTATTTAAGGTTCCTAAATATACTTGTAATATTCACTCTTAAATCTAGGTGAAGAGTGAAGATTATTTTAGAGAGGGGGAGGGAGAGGGGGGGAAGATGTAAATATATGTGAAGAGTGAATATTATTTTAGAGTTGTGATTGTTTAAGAAACTCCTTAAAGAGTTGTGATTGTTTAGGAAACTCCTTGAAGACAAGTGATGGGATTCTTATTCACAGTTGAAAACTCTATAAATAGAGGTGAGTTTGTGTAGAAAGGGTAAGAGGGGAAAAGACGTAAGGGTTGTAAGGTATTATTGAATGTTAGTGAGAGTGGGACAATAATTTTAACCGAGAAATCAAAGTGATTAGGGTAGAAAAATCGAACGTGTCAGAGAAAAAATCAAATATGAGGGAAAGTACGGCCACGTGTTGGGGGAAAATTGGAGGGGGAAATGTGGGGCTACTTGCTAAAAAAACCCCTAGTGGAACACAATGGGCAAATAAGGACCAATTTTACTTTTAATGTTAAAATTACTCAATTAACCTTACCTTATCATTAATTAATTTCTTTCTAAAAATGCAAAATACAAAATGTCAAAATTATCCTTTAATCTACATTCCTTACGCTCCACCTAATGCCCAACACTAAAAATCAGACACCTGCCAAAAATACCCACCCAGTCGCTCTCTATAAACAAATAATGCTCTGATCTTCACAATTTTTCTTCCACTAAACCAACTCCCATCTTTCTCTGTAAACATCTTGGAGTCCCTCGCGATGTTCGTTGTTGAAGGGGTGAAAGGTTTGGTTGATTGTTGAAGGAATCGTCGTTGAGGTTCAATTAGGGCTTTTGAACACTGTAAAGACCGTGATTTGAAAGATCTAAGAGGTACTATTTCTGTAAATATATATTTATAAATAGGTTTTTTTTTTTTGGATAAGTTATATAGGGTTCTTGAATATTTGTTTTTCTACTTTTGATTATGGTTTTCTATGTTATTTCTTGATTTTGGATTACTATAACAACTAATACAAATGTCTACAACCAAAAATTATTTAGTTATTTAGTGATAAACAATCCCCACTTCTACTGTTATGGATGAATCCAAAACCAGGTTCTTAGTCAACTCATTCGACTGAGATATTAAAAATATTCTCGTTTCTAATTTAAAGAAAAATAACTATTCTTCCTTTTTACCTTCCCCCATTCTATGTCAATTCAAGTTGATTGTTTAAACTAAAAATTATTTACGGTAACCACTATTGCAAATTTTTTTTTTTTCTTTCTTTTCTGTCTCTTACAGTCGTTGATTATTTTGATATAGCAGTCGTTGATTTTGGATCAAACCTGATAATAAGGCTAAGCATAGGAACAAAAATGCCTCAATGCCACCTACACTTTTGAAAACCGCTCCACAGAATCCAATTATGGTACCAACAAGCATTTGCTAGCCAAAATTTCATGTCCTGTAAACCAAATTTCACAATTGTGTACCTTAAGTTTCCACAAATCAGTTACCAAATAATTGAGATCAAGTAGATGAACCATTCTATTTCTGTCCATTTTTTCATGGGCATTTCTTCAAACACCATTTTTTTTAGTTGCAATTGTTTGGTTGTTTGGAGTTTTTGAGTTCTAGGTAAATTGTTTTTGACTTGCAATTGTCTGTTGCTCTAGTTGATGGAGAAGTATTACACCATACAGTTGCATTACTCTGGTACAATTGAAGAGGCAAACCAATATGTTGGAGGAAGTATTGGCATCTGGGATGGTTTGGATCCCGATAAATTTTCCTTTTTAAAACTTAAAGACATGGTAGAGATGGTTGGCATTGACACTAATAACAGTAGAATGTTCTATAAGGACCCAATTGATGGACAACTCTTATAACTTAAAAGTGACGTGGATGTCTTGGATATGTTTGAGACATACAAAATGTTTACTTTAATTCCAGTTTATGTTAAGACTCCTAAAGTTGTGAATGAGATTGAAGCTCTGAATAAGATTGAAGTTGTGGGTGAGATTGAAACTGCTAATGAGGTTGAAACCACAAGGATTAATGCTAAAACAGATGGTATAGATGCTGAAACTCATGGTATAGATGCTTGTCAGTGGGGGATTGTTGATAACATTGATGAGGTCTCAGTGTATGCTCCTAGTGATGAGCTATGCAGTGTATATAGCTCGTCAAGTGAAGAGGTTGTGACACAAACTAGAACACATTATGTTGAGCAGAGGGATTTTGAAAAGGAGGATTTCTCTTTCTTTATAGGAATGAAGTTTGCATGTGCTAAAGATTTCAAGGATGCATTAAGGCATCACGCTATAAAAAATAAATATGATTTTGAATTCAAAAAGAATGAACGCAAGAGGGTTACTGTTGTGTGTGTTAACAAGTGTGGTTGGAGGATGCAAGCCTCCAAAAGGGGTAAGGAAGGCAATTTTGTACTAAAAAAGTACCAATCTACTCACAGTGACACTTGCTTTGAAACAGGTACCAATAGGCAAGCAATATCCAGGTATCTTGCAAAGAAATATGTTCATAAGTTTAGGATAGAACGAGATTGGAAAAATGCTGGATTTATAGGACATATTAATGAGAACTTGGATATAGTGGTATCTAGACACAAAGTTGGAAGGGCTAAAAAAAAGCTATAGAGATCATTGAAGGGCATATGGAGGACCAGTTTAAAAATTTGAGGGAGTATAGAGAATTGATTAAGTCTTCAAATCCTGGTAGTGTGTTTAAAGTAAATGCAAATTTGGAACCTGACCACAACTCTACAAGATTTTAGAGATGGTTGTTTTTGTTTGGATGCAATGGTGAATGGATTTAAAGAAAGATGCAGGCCTTTCATTGGACTTAATGGAGCCTTCTTGAAAACTCCATACAAAAGGCAATTACTCAGTGCTGTTAGTAAAGATGGAGATAATAGTTTTACCCAATAGCACTTGTAGTTGTTGAAGCTGAAAATAATGATAGTTGGGAGTGGTTTATGGAGGAGCTATTAGATGTTATTGGTGATTATAATGAGATAACATGGATTTCAGATAGGCAAAAAGGTCTTATTGAGGTGCTTGAAAGGATGTTTCCTGAGTAGATCACGGATATTGTGTAAGACATATTTATGATAACTTCAAAAAAAAAAAAAAAAAAAATACCCTGGTGCAATTTTAAGGACAAAAGTGTGGAAAGCAGCAAGCGTATTCCATATTAGTGATTTTGAGAAAGAAATGACCATCATCAATAGTATAAACCAAGAAGCACATGCATGGTTGAAAAAAATTGATACTAAACTATGGTCCAAGCATAAGTTCACACAAACATTAAAGTGTGATTTAAACAGCGATAACATGTGTGAGTCATGGAATGGACATATCAAAACTGCAAGGGAGAAGCCAATAATTCACATGTTTGAAATGATTAGAATGATGTTGATGAAAAGGTATAAAGAGAGGAGAGAGTATATGGAAGCTTAAACAGGGTTGTTAGTTCCAAAAGTGTACAAGCAGTTCAAGGAACGTACTTAAGAAAAAAGCAAAGAGTTGTATAGTGCAGGGTTCTGGGCTACATTTGTGTGAGGTTCAACTTGAAGGAATGAATGATACTGTTGATTTGGTAAGTAAGAGATACACATGCAAGGAGTGGCAGATTACAGAAGTGCCATGTGTGCATGCAATGGCTTCCATTGTGAAGAGAAAGTTCAATCCAGAGGATTATGTGCATCCCTACTACTATAGGGAAACGTTCTTGAAAGCATATCCTATCATAAGACCTCTTTCATTGAGGAATCTAAAGAGGATAACTGGACTGGTACCATTGATTCCTCCACATGTTAGGATACCCCTAGAAAGACCAAAAAAAGCAAGAAAGAGAGGTGCAGATGAAAAACAAAAACCCAAATTTGTTTTTAGATAAAGGGCCCATATAAAATGTGGAAAAAGTGGCGAAAAAGGCCATAACACAAAGACTTGCAAAAATAATGAAGCAGGACTACAACCTATACCACAACCTATTAGTAAGGGAGGTAGACCACGTCTTCCAAGAGTAGGACTACATGTTTGTATAGGTGATGTTGGTGATGATGAAGGTGTTAGAAGCAGCCACAATGATGGAGGTGTTAGAAGCATCCATAATAATGGAGGTGTTGGAAGCAGCCATGGTGCTGGAGGAGTCGGAAGTCAAAGAGGTGGAGTTCAAAGAGGTGCTATAAGTGTCCCTTCTATTGGAGTTGCAACAGTTCCTTTTAGTGGAAGAAGTGCTTAAAATATCCGTAAAGGCGTTACAACTTTCCCCAGAGGTGGAAGGGGTGCAAATGTCCCTAATATTGGAGCTGCAATGGAGGTAACTTATATCATTTCAATTTTCTAGAATCTATAGATATATGATTTTAATTTCACGCATATTTAATTCATGGTTTATTTTAACAGGTTGTATATGTTTTTGAGTGATATCGAAATTAATATTGTTGGATATTTTGTTAATCTCTTACAGGTTGCAAGTGTATCTCAAGTTCCTGACATGTGGTAAGTCTTCTATAGTTCCATATTTTTTTAGGATATTGATTTGTTTTTTTGGGATATTGATTTGTTGTTTTAATTGACAGTTCATAGAATATGGAGTATGGCAATGCAAATGGACCATAAAACTTTGTTGGCATTTTTTTTTGGCAATTAGGATGTTGTCCTAGTGATGATTTATCACATGTATTGTTCATTTTTATTTTTATTTTTGGTTAAATGATGATGGGATGCAGTGTACTTGCCCCAATTTTACTGAATTATAAATTTTTTGGTAAATGATGATGTTATAACTCTCTTTAGTGAAAGGTGATGAAAAAACAACCTAATTTTGATGAATGGTGGTGGTGTCACTTTTTTTTTTTTCATACTATTTTTGAATGATGGAATTTCCAACTTATTCTATAGTTATTAACACAAATTATAAATGATGGAATTTCCAACTTATTCTATAGTTATTAACACAAATTATAAGAACAAAGCAAAGACAAAATACAATGAGGTGAAAAAGGAGAAAACAAATGAAAAATATCTAGAATGTGAGACATCTAAAATAAAGATAAAGGTAAAATATGGCTTGAGAAAAGGCAACACCAGGGAGAGGATATAATTTTGGCAGCACAAAGAATACAAAATTGATAGGGGCATTATTGTCACACAAAAAGGGCAATTTTGGGTTTTTTTTTTTTTTTAATATGATGTCACCGGTATCTCTTTTTCAACGGATCTAGTCAACAGGGAGTTTTTTGCTCAAAAGATAAATTATAGAGGGTGTTATATGCACTTGTTTTTTAATAGGGTGTTTTTTGCACCGTTTGTATATAGTGGGGGTGTTTTGTGCGCTTAGCCCAATATAAAATTAACAAACACATCCTTTAATTAGAAGGACCATTCCTATTTTAATTGAAGTCGTTATATTTTATTAACTAGCAGTGTTTCGATTTTGATCCTAGAAGAATTCGTGAAGTTAACCCAACTTGAAGATGCATACCAATAAAAATTCTCCATCCGAAATTTGAAAAAAATAAATAAATAAATAAATAATATTATTTAAAGTTTAAGCAACTCATGAGTTTTTGGGTTGGAAAATAATTTTAAAATATATAGTTGTCAAATTTTTTTTATTTTTTTATTTTAGAAATTCTAAATTAGTTGTCAAATTTAAAAAGTTAAAATTAAATGTAATATTTTCATAATTACTATTCCAATTTTTCATGATCCTTTCAACTTTTTTTTTTTCTTTCCTATTTGGTACTCACACACACATGCCTTCATGGAGGCTATATTCTTTTAACTTTGTGTTTTATATATTTAAAATTTAAATGACAACTTAATAATTTAAAAAGGGAACAATACGATAATTGCATATTTTTCTAAAAAGGTTAGAAAATAAAAAATTGACAACTAATATAGAACTAAGATAGTATATATATAGTATGTAGTAACGGGTTTGGAGACATGACTCATGAGGGGTTATATTAGGAGTAGATATTGGGTGCGCTAGGGATGCCATGTCATTAGTGTATCCATCCAATGAAATATAACATATTATGTTGTTATAAGTGATTTTATAAGAGCATCTCTTTTGTGTAAAATATACACTGCCATGTATGATGTGTAAATTTTTGTGTAAATCTATTATGACAAATAAGATTTAATCAAAAAAATATACACAACTGTTGGAGATACTCTAAATAGGTGAGCTAACTTTTTTGAAATAGTACATTGTCATTGGATGTGTATACTAATAACGCGCTTAGTGCACCCATATCTACTCTCATATTAGGAATGTCGATTTAATCCATGTCACTAGGACGTCTCATCCTATCCCTGTTGGGACGAGATTGGGATCAAACAAATTGGGTTAAGGGAGAGTTTGGGAGGAGAGTTTAAACCCCTCAAAGCATCGCACCAATTAATACATAAATAAATAATATTTTAGAGTCTATAATTTTTATTTTTACTATATTTCTTATGGTAATTTTAAATTTTAGCAATATTTTTGTTATTGTGATTGTATTTGAGTATGCTACAAACAAATTTACCAAATTTATTTTAACTGTACGCAAGAAGATTGAATTGCTTTTTTTTTTAAATGTATCGTGGGCCTCGTGGCACTCTAAACCCGCCCTGGCCTCAACTCGGGGCGACCCGAATCAAATTTGAAAAAAGATTTTCATTAATGGGACAGATTTGGGAAAGGTTTCCGTTCCAAACCGGTCCCATTTGACATATCCAAGTCCATACTCCATACCATTACAGATCTTTTGTTTTGGTGGGCTCCTAATGCATCACTTTTGTGCTGGGCTTTGCCCATGGGTTTGTTTGTAAATATATCATGGGCCGAGGGTTTTTCCATTGTGCTAACATCCTGTTGGGCTATTCATTTTTAGACAATATATATACAATTAGGAGTAAAATAAAAGTATATTATTCATAAGAATTTTTTTGCTTCATCATCCTTGTCTTAATTCTTAATAGGTTGAATTTTTAGTTTATAATTTTTAATTTAGTGATTGGGTTGACTTGGTTCGAAAAAATTGTAAAATTATAGATAGTCCAAGTAAAGTAATTTTATGAAACTAGCACTCACTCAAACATTATTCTAATGAGAGAAGTCTTGTTAGTTGCAATAAACTATTGTTGTTGAAGGGAAGCTGCCAAAAGTGGTTTGTTTCCACATAATTCTTTTGTGCCATAAAGAAAAATAATTTTTTATTATGACAAAGTAATGAAAAAAAAAATTTATGAACATAACTGTTCAGTTTTAGAAATAAAAGTATGACAGGCTTCATCACATTTCAACGGTGTTTATTAATTGTAATTTAAATATATATTTTTGTCAACCATGTTTATTAGTAAATGTTATCTTTACCCAAATAAAATTTTCAACTTATCTGCCTTTCAAATTTGGGAAAATATGAACAATCCAAAAAAATGTATGGTTTTCTTTGGGATCAGTCGAGTCGGGTTCGGGTTAACCTTTTGGCATGTCTAACTTGTTTCTCGAGTCTCAACCTTGTTATATAGCATTGTCATTTGCCACATAATTAGTTGAAGAAAGATTAGTAAAAAAAAAGGAGGAAAGAAAATGTAAAAAATCAAACACACATCTTAGAGATAAATTTGGTATGAATTTATTGTATAATCCTTGAAAAAATCAATAATACAATACAAAATACACATGAATTGTGAAGCAAAATTATTCTGAAATAGAAATACCCAAATTTATTTTTTCATGCCTCTTATTGAGGTAACAAAAATCAAATGACTAAAGCTCCACTTATGGCTTCTTCACAGGAAAACCATCCTCCACCCATGCAGCATAACCCCCATCCATATTGAACACATGCTTGAAACCCTGCATTTTCATAAGAACAATGAGTCATTTACTCACTCAACACACATAAGAAGCTCCAAAGGAATATGGTTTTACAATTTCATACGATGAATTTACGAGATGGTATTAAATATAAAAAATATTGATGGGGAAATATCGAAATAGAAATGTAAAAGTACAAATAGGTTTCTTGTATTATTTTGAATGTAAGAAGGCAAGGGAAAGGAAAGCTAAACTTACAGCATGAACAAGTTCAGAAGATGCATTAATGGACCTCGATCCAGTTTGACAACCCTTCACACGTAGAAAGAAAAGGAAAAAAACCACCAATTAGATACAACATAAATGTGTATGTCCTTTTTATATTTTTCTTTATTTACATGCATGTATAAATATATTACCACAACGATATGAGCAAATTTGCCCCAAGCTGATAGAACCTGCTTCACAAATTCAGGATTTTTCACCATACCTGTAACTCAAAATTCCAACAGAAGAATTGATGAGTCATTATTTAATCAAAATCTGAGAAATGTGTATAAAAACCAAAAACAGAAAAGAAAATGGCTGTATTATACAAATTGATTATAAAATCACCTGCGGTGGTATTGAACCTGTAAGGGATATTTGTAATGTTCTTTACATCCACATGGCCCTTCTTGAACTCTTCTTCAGTCCTATCAATTCAATCATTTCGCAAAATCAGAAAAAAAAAAAAAAAAAAAAAAAAAAAACTTAAATTTTAAATCCCAAAAATTATAAAAATAAACAAAAATACATGAATTGTAAGAGAGACCAATCTTTCACCTGACATCAAGATAACCATATATTGCATGGAGAAAATTTTTAGCTTTGTAAGTTTCAATAGTGACCACTTCTTTTCCTGAGCTGTAAGACACAACAAAAGAAGAACAGGAACAATAAGAAGCCCATGTTGAATCCCAAAAGCACCCATATTCCGATATTGTTGTATATATAAATAAATGGTTTTTAACATGGTAACAGAGCTTGTGCTAATCTACAAAATGATCGTGCAAGTTTTATAAATACTTTTTTCCGATAACATGCCATCTTTTGATCTACGTGTCAGCTTTTAAATGCATTTTATCAACTCATTATATGTTGTCACAACAGTAAAAGTGCATTACTACATGTCAGTTTTTAATTAGGCACTGATATCATGTCGTTACTATTCCAAGAGCACTAAAATAGTTTTCCCACTTACGGCCTTTTTGCAGGGAACCCATTCTCCACCCATGCAGCATAACCCCCAGCCATATCGAACACATGCTTGAAACCCTGCAGTTTCATAAGAACAGTGAATCATTTAATCACTCAGCGCATAAATGAAGCTCCAAAGGAAATGTAAAAGCACAAAAAAAATTCTTATTCTATTTGAAAGTAAGAGGTACAGAGAAAAGAAGGATAAACTTACAGCATTAACGAGATCGGTAGTTGCATTAAGAGACCTCACTCCAATTTCACAACCCTTCACGCATAAAAAGAATAGGAAAAATCACCAACTAAATACAAGATAAATGTGTATACCTTTTTTATATTTTTCTTTATTTATTGTTGAGTGTGTGTGTATATATATATATATATAAATATAAATATTTTACCACGACGAAATGAGCATATTTGTCGTAAGCTGATAAAACCTGCTTCACAAAGTCTGGATTTTTCACAAAACCTGCAACTCAAAATTCAAATAGAAAATTTGATCAATCATTATTTAATCAATATATGATAAATATATATATATATATATACATACAAAAATAGAATAGAAAATGGCTATATTATATGAGTTGATTCTAAAATCACCTTCAGGGGTATTTAACAAGTAAGGGATATTTAGAATGTTCTTCACATCTACATGGCCGTTCTTCAACTCGTCTTCAGTCCTATCAATTCAATCATTTTCCAAAATTAGAAA